TGGTGGCAGTGTCAGGGGCAGCCCTCTGCATGGTGGCAGTGTCAGGGGCAGCCCTCTGTGTGGTGGCAATGTCAGGGGCAGCCCTCCGCATGGTGGTGGTGGCGGTGTCAGGGGCAGCTGTCCGCGTGGTGGTGGTGGCGGTGTCAGGGGCAGCCCTCTGCATGGTAGGGACTGCCCTCCGCGTGGTGGCAGTGGCAGGGAGGCTGACTCAGCTGACATTCTGTGTGCGTGGTCTGCTGGCCTCAGGGTGTTCTGAAGGACTGAGAGGAGGTGCTGGAGGTTTGGTTCCCCCACCAGCCACCCAGCACAAACCAGGGGTCTAAGGACCTTTCCACTGTCCCAAGATCTGAGTGGGATGGACTTTGGAAGGACATGTAGCATTCAGTTATATGTGTGACAGAAACTGGCAGCAGGAAGCTGTGTATTCAGAGAGATGTGTGCTTATCTCCAGGAGACATGTCATTTGAAGACGTGGTGCCACCCAGCTGCTCAAGGCACAGCCCTGTGGAAGTGCCAGGGTCACAGTGGGTCTGATGCTCCTCCCATAAGAACTGCGTGAATCCTTCTCACCAGGGGCAGCCCTAGAAGGATCCCTAGAAGACCCAGAGTTTCTTTCTTTCTTTCTTTCTTTTTTTTGAGACAAAATCTTACTATGTCACCCTCAGTAGAGTGCTGTGATGTTACAGCAACATCCAATTCTTAGGCTTAAGCAATCCTCTGGCCTCAATCTCCCAAGTAGTTGGGACTACAGACCTGGCTATTTTTTTGAGATGGAGTCTCGCTTTTGCTCAGGCTGGTCTTGAACCTATGAGCTAAGGCAATCTGCCCACCTTGGCCTCCCAGAGTGCTAGATTATGGGCATTAGCCACCGTGCCTGGCCTTCTTGTTGTTTTTTGACACAGTCTCACTTTGACACTCTCAGTAGGGTGCCATGATGTCATAGCTCACAGCAACCTCAAATTCTTGGGCTCATGAGATCCTCCTGCCTCAGCCTCCTAAATAGCTGGGACTACAGGTACCCACTGCAATACCCGACTAGTTTTCTTCTTTTAAGTAGAGACAGGGTCTTTCTTACTCTTACTTAGGCAGGTCTTGAACTCCTGAGACCTCCCAGAGTGCTGGAATCATAGGCGTGAGCCACTTCGTCCAGCCCACTAAACTTACTTGTGTGGTTTGATCCTGGAAACTCATCAATATTTATCAAAAGGCCTAATTCTTGGTGAACTCAAGTTTTATTGTTTTGCCACGTCAACCCCTTCTGAATGAGCAGTGGCTGCGCTGGGTGCATCCCGTGCTGGGCAGCCGTCACTGGCTCATTCCCTCGGTGCGATGTCGTGAGGCTCCTTTGTCCTGGTGAATTCTCTCCCCCGGCCTACTTCTCGTTTGGTTCACTACTCATTTTGTTTCCCATAAAGCATTTACATCGTTCTGAAGTCTAGACTTTTTAGAGCGTTTGGCACTATC